AGAGAGAGAGAGAGATATCAACTGAATTGAATACCAGAACAAAGAAGAAACGGGGCGATTGTGGAGGCACTTGCGCGAGCGACTATGCGGAGTGACACGGCGAGGCTTAGAGAATCGTATCAATTACGTTGTAATTCAGTACGATATGTCACGTGCCACGCGTGCTACACTGGTCAAGCAGCGACTAACTCGTCGCTTCCAATGGCTAACTATTTTAAAGTCCGTCCCCCCCTCCCCCTCCCTCCTCTCACCACTTCCGATGGTACCCTTTGAGGTATGCAGGAAAACGCGAATGCAGAACATAAAGTCTAAGGACGCTACTATTTTTAGAATTAAACAACAATGGGAAATGCACCGTTGATAATCGGAATGATGAGGAGGGGGAGGGAAACGATTATTCTTTTCGTAAAATTGCTCCCTTCCGAGGATATTCTCTTTGAGATAATCCGGAAATAGAGTAATATGCAAAGTGTCTAAGAGTATGACTACTTTTAAAAATTACAATTGAATAGCAAGAAATATATTGTTGATAATAAATGACTCACAATATAAAATTTGCCTGATTTAGAAAGACAAAAATTCATCTTTAGTTTTGTCAAAATATTAATAAAAATAATAGAATATTAATATCACTTTCTACTATCTTAATGATTCCGAATAAAAATAAGATAAGAAAATTTAAAAATAAATATTTCTGTTTTTCAAAGATCAAAACAAATCTATAAAAACTTCTTCCTGATATCTAAAAACAGAAATATTTTTAAATTTATATTGGGAATAAATTAAGATAGCGTAAAACCTCGAAATCGGATATTATCATATGTATTATAAAAACGTAAATAATGTAAATAGCACGTGCGCGCGCGCGCGCACGTGTGTGTTATGTTATTTATGTTTTTATGTGTTATATACATATATTCTTCTAATTAGAAGAGCTGACAGTTGCAAGTGCAGAATTATAAAATTATCTGTGCACGTACCCGATGATGATCACACATTTGTTGCATCTCGTTGTTGTATCTCAATGAAGGAACAGCTTGAAACGTGGAAGGATGCTTCCGATCGATGCCGAGCACGTAGAAAAACGGATCGTCGCCTCAGTGCCGGAGTGCGACATCGTATCGTCGTGCAATGCTGATCATGCTCGACGAGCAAGTTCGCGTTACGACGAAGCACTTCCGAGACGGAAAGACTTTTCAAAGATGATTTTTTTTATGCGGGGGATATTCACTTTTGGTAAAGCGGCCACGAGAAATATGAATATACAGAATTCATTCCGAGCACAAATCCAACCGTCATGTTATGGGATCCCATTGAGTAACCGAAATCTATATGGAACGAATTATCGCTGACCATTGAAATTTCAAAATGATAAACCAAAAATCAAAATGGTAATGGTAAACCAACCAAAGCATTGATTGGTCATTCATCTTAATCACATATCTTACACTCGATACGAGTAGTTTATTTGGCGACTGTTTGTAATCTGTAGCTTCATTCGAGATTATTCTAAATACATATTCTAAGATCACAGATTTAGATTTTAGATTCATCTTTTAATTTATTTCCTTATCCTTAATTTTGGTAAAAATATGTACTTAAGTACTTTCGTATATGTTGAAATGTTCATATATATATATATATATTGAGTCTCATTTCAATTGATTAATATTTTAATAAATTTTGATTTTAAAATTTGATTTTTCAACAAATGATCATTCTTTCATATATAAAACATAGTTTATTTTTGCACTTTAGTATTTTTATTTAAAATTGGTAGGTTTCTTAATTTTTAATAAAAAAATTCTTTGTCTTGTCATAATCTTAAGTGTACTAACTTTATCTTTTCTTCTATAATATTTTCAGTTAAAACGTTATTATCTAGATTCTGCGTTTGCACAAATATAAGTAAAATCAATCTTACTATCTTGCATATATAATCTATACATGCTAGACATCAAGTAACCGTGACATCCCATTAATATTATAATTTTCCACTCAACAATGTACGTATAATATAACACATGTTGCACATAACAGTTGTTATACATTGTTGAATGTAAATTATGATATATTATGATTAATGTAACGTCATTGTGATTTGGTATTTAGCAGGATGTTAATTTTTATATTAATATTAATAAGAAAGAGAGAGAGATAGAGAGAGAGAGAGAGAGAGAGAGAGAGAAGAAAGTGGTGACATCAACTATTGTCTTTAATTTTACGCATTGTACCTAAGCGAACAATCTTTAAGCAATTTGATTTTCTAACTTTAATTTATAACTGAAAAACTATTAGAATTAAAATTTTCAAAACAATCTCAAAAAAGTCTAAATGTTACACTTCTAAATGTTACACATTTTACAGGATATTATATATGCATTTAAATATAAAGACATTATAATTCTGCTCATAAAAAATTATAAATAACAACAGAAATATGTTTGATTTTTATTTTAAATAATTTAATTAATTGATTAATTTAATCAGCAGAATTGCTTAATAGAATTTCTAATTATTATAATAATTAATCCCAGCCGGTATTCATAGCTGATTCTCGAAATATATTTAAATGTCTTAAATGCAGATTTAAGATGTCGTAAACCAATGAACCAATGACAGAATTGTATTAGCATTTTAAAGACATTACTTAAGACGTTCTTAAAATAAGAACAGACTATGTCAAATATAATGGAAGATTGAGAGACCCTGCGCACAATAAAGGAACAAGAATAGAAATTAGGAAACAGAAATAAATAATAAATTTTGAAATTAAAAATTAGAGATTAAGCATAACGCACACAATTAAGTATAGACACAAGTAAATATAAAATATAGCTACATCTTATATTTACTTGTGTCCATTTTGCGTTACGTTCAACCTCCATTCTTAATTTTTCTTTTTATTTCTAAAATTTAATATTTATTCCTGTTCCTAATTCCAATTCTGTTTTTCCATTGTGCATAGAGCCTAAATACGTCGAAAACGGAACATTATGCATGGATGAAGCATACTTGATTTTTTTCTCCTAAATTTCTTCACAATTTTTCTTCTTTTCTCCACAGAAAGAAAAAAAAAGAGAAAAGATAAACCGTAAAAAGTTTAGCTAGAAAGAATAAACTTACTTCAGCAGTTTCTCTCTTTCTTCCTCTCTCTCTCTCTCTCTCTCTCTTTTCTCTCTCACATGCGCGCGCAAGTGCAAATGTTATGATACTGATTAGAGCTTCTTGCTACAATTATTTATGTTTCTTACAATTCTATGTACATATTGAAGGTTTATTTGATCGAATTTCTGCTATTATTTCATTATTTATTATGAGAAATTTATTTTTTTATTAGAAATATAATTTATTACGAAATATACATATGTGATTGAATAGCGGCTGCTAATGTTTGCTTTACTGCGCATGTGCGAGCGTTTCTTAACGCGCTACTATATGCAATATGTATGAACAATCATCAGCAATCGACTTCCATGTGCTTTCAGATGAGGAAATACTTGTTGTTTGAAGACAATAGAGAATAAAATAGAGCAAGTAAATAAGCTGTGGTTTATTCTATGCTTAATTTATAATCTCCATTCTTGTATACTCTTGTGTTTTCGAGGTTAGTGCATTACTTAACTTTGGAATTTTTCATGCATTACTATTCGCGTCAATTATTTTAATTCGATCAACGAGTGTGTACTCGTTAAAACTTTCATCTTCTTGTTTAAGTAAAATTAAGTGTTAATTCTGGAATCATGATTATGAAACACGAAATGGGTTAAAACGATAAATATATTTTCCACTTTAAGTTCAACGAATCATTAAAATTTACAGAAATCTAAAAAACTTGAAAAATATATATTCAACAATATATTCAATAGAACATGTAAACTTATATAGATATTTCATGATTTTTAATGGTCTATAATATTAAGTCTGCAGGACAAATTGCAACAATGAATGACGAATTGGTAGATCATATTCTAAACATGTCTAAGTCGCTTGAGCCTTTCAAGATAGTAATGCCAGGGCCTAGTATTAGGAAGCCAATAAAACAATGTCCATTAGATGAAGAAATGAATGACAATCATAATGTAGAATCAGAGATGGATTATATAAAGAAATATGTAAAAAAAGAGGAAGAGGATTATATAAAGGTAACAGCATTACGATACATATTATATTCTTTACGGTTGTCTTAATTTATCCTTTCTGTTATTTCTTACAGTTGAAAAGTACGTTTTTCAACAATGATAATTATATGGACAACTTGTCAGAAATATCTGGAGAGGTAGTAATAAACAAGGAAGATACTGCTCGGATTTATCGCATGTTCAACTTTGCCTATCGACCTAAAATTGATTTACCTATTCTTTCTATAAAAAGTAAAATTGTATCTATGATTGCGAGCAATTCTGTCGTTATCATTCGTGGTTCCACGGGTTGTGGGAAAACAACACAAGTGCCGCAGCTTATTCTTGACGCTGAATATGAAAAGAGGCAACATTGTAACATTATAGGTATTCCTTTAGATTAGATTATTCTAAAACATCCAACAGATATTTATAAACTTTAATTGATATATTTTATCAATAGGGTATAAGAATCTTTGTATTTTATAGTAACGCAACCGAGACGTATCGCTGCTTTGAGTATTGCGAAACGAGTCAGCTATGAAAGAGATTGGCCTGTTGGCACCATTGTGGGATATCAAATGGGTTTAATTAAAAGTTTATGCCGCGATACTCGCATAACATATTGTACTACTGGTGTGCTCTTAAATAAATTGACAAACAAGAAACACATGATGGACTACACTCATGTTATACTGGATGAGGTGCATGAACGTGATGAAGACATGGATTTCCTTCTGCTCATAGTGAGAAAGTTATTACGTACAACTTCAACTATGGTTAAAGTTATACTGATGTCAGCAACGATCGACGTGAATAAATTTGCTGCGTATTTCTCGACGCCTGTGGAAAATAGACTTTTACCAGCACCAGTCATCGATATACCCAAAAGTAGTCCTTTCAATGTTTCTATATATTATATAGACGAGATGGAGAATTTAGGCAATGTAAGTATATTTTCTTACACTATTAGAAAAAGCACAACATATCAATATCTAAAAAATGAACGCAATCGATCTCTACTTCTGAAGAAATAGAAGAAAAAATATTGCATGTTAAATCAGAGACCATTGCTTATAATTATTCTGAAACATTGATATCAACATATAAGTAAAATGCTAAAAAAATTTAAAGATAAATTGCTTAAATACATGAAGATATATAAATAATTTCATTTTCTCTCTTTTCTTTTTTTATACTTTTACAATTTTAATCAAAAAAATAATCACGAAAAATATATATTGTATTTTTTTAACAGATACCTCAAGTATTTCCGAACGAACCGAGATTCACTATTGCTATGGCAGAGTTTTCTGCGCGTGTTATACATATCTTTGACCGTGTTGACCAAAGAGGTAACAGTACAAATGATGAATACGAAAGGTCCACCGTGCTCGTGTTTTTACCTGGACTTAGCGAAATTGAAGAGATGCATAATGTACTTATATCAGAGACACATGCAGATGCTTATTGGGATATAATTATTTTACACTCATTAATCTCAACCGAAGATCAAGAAAATATATTTAAACAGCCACCCAAAGGTTATCGACGTATTATACTATCAACGAACATTGCTGAAAGTAGCATCACTGTGCCAAATATTAAATATGGTATGCAATTATTGATTGAAAATGGACGATATTTGTTTGTTGAACTAATAACTTTTATGAATCGATGGAATATTTGTAGATATAAAATTCTCTTTTCTTTTCTTCAGTAATTGATTTTTGCTTAACGAAACTTCTTGTCACCGAGCCTGGAACTAATTATCAGTGTTTACAACTTTGTTGGGCAAGCAAATCTAATTGCCAGCAACGTGCTGGTCGTACAGGCCGTGTAATGGATGGTAGAGTATACAGAATGGTACCAAGATCATTTTATGACGTGAGTATTTTTAACATTATTTCATTAATTCTTAACTCTTTACAAAACTCGTAATTCATATCATTCTAAAAATTGCAGACTGTATTACGCGAAGAAGCTCTTCCGGAAATGCTCAGAGCTCCGCTCGCAAATGTAATTCTTAAAACAAAATTATTGAACATGGGTGAACCGAAAGCTCTCCTTGCTCTTTCTCTGGATCCACCTAATCTTAGTAATATACGAAATACTGTACTGTTATTGAAGGAAGTTGGCGCGTTACTCAATAGAGGTACACAAGAATTTGATGGAGACTTGACACCTTTAGGTCATGTAATGGCCTCTCTTCCATTAGACGTACATGTCACGAAGCTGATTGTTTTGGGTCATCTTTTTGACGTTCTTCAGGACGCGATCATTATCGCAGCTAGTATGTCCGTCAAGGATTTGTTCAATATTAAATTTCGCGATTTCGAAACGACTTATCATGAGAAAGTACATTGGTCCGGTAACTCTGGTAGCGATAGCATAGCGTGCTTAAATGCCTTCAAAGTGTGGCGAAACGACAAGGTGCATCGTCGTATAACTAACCCTGCTGACGAAAAAGAATGGGCGCGACGGAAGAGCCTCCGTGTAAGATCACTGCGCGAAGTCGACGCCTTCGTAACCGAGATAACATATAAGCTGAACTTTTTTGGCATAAAGGAAATGATGGATCTCGGGAAGATTTCTTGGGAAAGTCTCGAAATCGATCGCACCTTTGTACTTAAATTTATAATTGCCGGTGCATTTTATCCCAATTATTTTGTCAAATTCCCGTACAATGTACATGATCACAAACGGGACATCGAAAAGACGCTGGCCTTCCGCGATCCGATGAATACCGTCTTCCTACGAGGTTGGCCATCGACGCAACTCGGATCACTGTACTCTAAGAGATTCCAAGAGATCTTCGGAGAAATGTTCAAAAATCCTAAAGAACAGGAGAACATAACTGTATCCTTTGACGGATCGAATCGTGTTTATATCGAATATGAGCAGGATCGCACACCGACTGACCTTACTTTCGTTCGAAATTGCATCAAGAAGAGGCATTGTCGGATCCCGATTGTCATAGATCTGCTAAGCGAGACGGACGCTGCGCATAGAGCCGAAGACTTCGGGCTTGCAAAGGAATTCGGAGAATTGTTTCAGCCTTCCAATCCGGAAGAACGGCCGTGCAGGCGGTATATGTATGACAAAAAGCCATATCCGAAATTACCGAAGTACTCAGAATATCGATCGAGAGTCATGTTGCAAGGCCCCTTTTCACCAATAGAAGTTACATTAACACATATGGTAATCATGGGAATGTCGAAAACGGTGACAGTGGAAACTACCTCAGTGAATTCCGTTCTACTCGATACTTGTCCGGAGAGCCCGAGAGGAATTCTTCTGGTGGCGCAAGAAATCGTTCGAAACTCCAAAAATGAGACGCATCTAGTACTACGAAACACGACTCTTTTACCCAATACACCTGGTCTTGCATCGCTAATTAATTTAATTTTTACACCATACATGGAACTACGACGTAGTCCTCTGGGCACTTATTATACAGGCGCTCTATGCGGACTAGGATACGATCGTACTACTGGAAGGAGCTTATATTCACAGCATGATCTGCAAGTTATATTTGACGTTGAGATCAAGATGAGCGATTTACGAATGGTACATCGTCTAATATTCAATTTTTACATTTTTACATTTTTAAATTACATTACACATTATATATTTTATCTAGAATATTTTCCTTTTTTTGCAATTCATTTAAATACGAAGTACGAAGATAATTAATAATAACACATAGATTATATTTAAACATTTTGTTGATAGATTAACAAGTTACGTCACTGGATGAATGTTTCGATGCACTTTAACGAGAGATCTGCAATCGTAGACGATGATGCTCATTATGAGATGACCATAAATTGTCAGAATCAAATTAAAAAGACGTTCAAGGAGGTGATATTTGAGACTCGTAAAAAGATAGAGCCTATTTTAATCCCTAAATTTGACGAATGGAATCGATATGATGAAACTCAATTTCTTGTGCCTGCTCGGGAAACGTCGAGGAAAAGTAATGTATATAGTTTGCATAAAGCATTGGAATTGAACCAAAGAAATGACCAACTTGAAGAATTGCTTAAGCATCTGTTGGAATTAGAGGCTTTAGCTCACCAGTACGTAATATATCATACAGTTCGAAATCCTTAATTCAATAAATGTTAATAGACACGGTATATTTTTTTCAAAATTTTCGATGTTACATGAGATATACATGAGATGACAATTCGTGAATTAAACTTGGATCTTTTAACAAACAACTGCTTTAAGACTAATCTAATTCTATTCTATTCGAAACTTTATCTAAAATTTATTTACCTAGAGAGTCAACAAAATCGTTTTTTGTTAACATTTTTTTTTGCAGAGATCCGCGTGAGACGAGTATCGAGCCTGTTTACTGCAAACTATGTCAAATAGAAGTAAAGGGTATTATCAATCTTCGTGCACATTTATGTTCAAAACAACATACAACAAAACAACAAAAGATAGATACGTCTACTGAATTTGGAGAGAATCTACAAAATATTATGGAAAAAATGATGCTAATACAATAAGTAAATCTAAATTTACATTTAATCATTTTTTTATTTTGTAACTAAAAGTTGAATTTTTTTACTGCATATCATGAACAGTATTATACGTACAAAAGTAAGATTTATTTAGATAATAAATATGTTTATTTTATAGACAAATAAGTATGTTATTATCTGTGAGAGTTTTATACTAAAGTAATAATAAAATACTTATTTTTTCATATGATATCCTTCCTTTTCATTTTTACTTTAATATTGAGCACATTTTCACTTTTCACCTTTAACATTTCCATACTGTTTTACCTTTTTTTTATCGAATTTTATAAAAATAAATGTAAGTTTTTCACATAGATATATTTACATATTTAATATAATGTACATCCTATACATTTATATTGTTTTTCTTTTATCAAATACATGAAAATTAGTTATAAATTATACATACAATTATAAAATTGTATGATACTATATATCTCGTAATCTTGAAATTATCATTATTTGTGCGGAATATATAAATTGAATTTTATATATGTGCATTCTTATTTTCTAAATATTAATATCTGCATTAATATTTTATTACATTTTTATACCATTAATTGCTGTGAACATATTATGTAATGACAACAAGAAAATGCAAGAAAGTTTCGTCAATTACAATCATAAATCATATCATATTGTCTCAGAACCATTTCTAAAATTATTTCCTTCTTTATAAATTGAAAATCTCAAATACTCTAAATAATTTTGTTAATTTCGAGTTGACTGACAACTATCAATTTGATAGTTAAGATTTTATGTCATATATATATATATATATATATATAATTTAATTATCAAAAATATGTATTTTCTCTTTAATATTTCATAATGAGATAAGAGATAATAATAAAACTCTAAAGATATATAGAAATTTAAGTAAACATAAATTATTTTAGGTGAATTTATTGAATATATTTAGTATAATTTTTTCTTAGTTTTATGTAATAAAACATTTTAAAACATTGAAATAAGATTAAAATGTTTATATATGTATAGATTTATTATAACTAAAATCTTTAGATTTTATTTATAATTAGATTTATTATAAATTTAAATTAGATTTATTATAAATAAATCTAATAAAAACGAAAATCTTAAATTAAAAAAAAATAAAGATTTCCTTAATTAAATCTCGAATAATCCATCTTTTATGTATCTTAAGCAAGTTGTTTCTCTTTGCGTTTTACACAATCATTATTCGTCATTCATTATTCATCATTAGTCTTTATCAATAATTCATTTGCAGATTGCAGATTGCAATTTATAAATTTTAATACTTTATACTCTTCACGGGAAGAAAACAAACAATTAAAAATTAGAACCTTTTATTAACGTACACGGTCCTATATTTCTCGTTGAAGATAGCGAGTTCCCGGTTGCGTATACAATAGTCTACCAGGCACATTGGCAGCAGAGCCACTTACATAGGTACCAGGAGATGGTGGCGGTGGTGGTGGATATGAACCAGGTGGTGGTTGAGGTGCTCGTACAGGATAACCCGAGGTAATTCCGCCTGTTTTTGCACCCTAACAGATAAAAATCAAAGTTCAAATATACGCAAATGACTAATACTTTTAAATTATTGTAACAGATAATATGCAGAGTTTGCAAAACAATTGCTGTTAGATACATTCTGTTCCAATTTTATCAATAACTTTTTTTGCATATCCTTAAAAAAACAACAAAAAAAAAGATTTTTTTACCTGAGGTGGTTGTTGAATCGGAATAGCTCCACCGTGAACAGTAACGTGATTTGTCGGCCGCAAGTAAAATTTATCCTCACCATAAGCGCCTTTGTGTTCCATCGAATGTAAATTAGTTACATATGCTGCAAAGTATGATTTTTTTAGTAGAAAATAAAATTTTATAAAATCTCGTTATTCTTTTCATATCGATAGCTTATCATATTAAATATTAATACAATATTATAAAACAATTAACGAGAAACTCAATAGATGTTTTCTGTGCGACAAATGAGAAAATAATAGAATTATTATTAAATCTGTTCTTTGTAGCTCTATCTAGTGTACACTCATTATACTTAAAATGAAATAGACATATATTGAAATAGATATATTTGAAGTTTGTCAAAAATATGATAGAAAGTTTTAATGCAGTCTACTGGCAAAGAACAAAACAAGATTTCTAATTTATTATCAAATTGTATTTTTCGTTTTCATTAAGGAACTATCTTAACTTCGGATTTTTTTATTTGTAATAGACATTTTCTTGCTTTTTTTATTTCAATATAAATTATTATGATAAACTATATATTACCAGTCTGATGTGTGGCTAATGGTGCTCTACCGCCCGAAAGGTAAACAGGCTTAGATTCAGAAGGCTCACGAGATGATTGTGACGCAGGTGCGGAATAGCTATAAACATTCTGGCCTGCTGGTGCTGAATAGAAATTCGACGCAGAATACTGATTATTCTCTGTTGAATAAAAAAAGGAAAAGTAATTATGATGAACAATGTATTATACAGATAATATGAAAGCACAAAAGAAAGCATTTAAATATTTTATAAAAAAAAACACAGGAAAGAAAAAATTGTTTACTCACTGTTCCAAAGAACTGCTCTGGAATCATTGGATCTTCTTGCTTCTTCAGATTCTGCACAAGCACAAATACAACACATTAAAACTCAATTCTATCTTTGCAAAATTAAAAATTAGAAAATTATAATATTATCAATAATACTACTTGTAAGGTATGTAGCTTCATATATTTACTAGGAGGAGGTGGATTGTAACTTGGGATAGATGGTGGTGGTTTGTAACCATACGCGCTGTGATATGGAGATGCAGCAGGTGGTGGCGATGGCGTATGAGTTCTTTTTAAAGTTCCCTGAAGGAAAATTGTATATATTTTATCACAGAAATGCAAAAATTATTTTTTTTTAAATGTATAAAGCATATCACAGGAAAGTTTTACTTACACTAGATAAGAGATGGGTCGGTGCACCAACGGCAACTTTGTAGAGAGGACTGTTACTACGTGGCAATGGTAGAAATAATTGTGGATGTACTACTCTTGGACCTGTTGCTGGATATCCTCCTACTGTTGTCGAAACTTCTGAACAAACACTAGAAAACAAGATTTAGTCATATAAATACAGTATATATAAAACATACATTATAATTTTTGATCAACATCCCATCAAAAAATTAATTGCAGCACAAACCTAGTTTCCTTTATGAGTTGTCGCCGTCTGTCATCCTCGTTTAGAACCTTTTTCAGTTGTAGGAATAACTGATGCTTCTCCGCTTTTAACTGAGCCAGTTCGTCCTCCAAGTTTGAAATTTGCTCTCGTGTTTCACCTAATGTCATCACATCTTGCTTTTGCTGACGCTCTCTCTCCTTGCGTAAACGTTCTTCCTCTGCATCAGCCTCTTGTTCTGAGATATAAAACAGTATTATTAAAACATTTGAACAAGTCTTACAAATAAATTTCTCTTAAAGAAGAAAACTCCAAACTCCACTCCAAACCAACTCCGAATATCAAACACTTCTGAAATCAGGAAGATCAGAATAAAAAATGTATCCATATGGATATATCCACCACATACATGATGTGTCGAGATTCTCAATTAATAATAACAGACAGGTCACCAAAATAAGCACCTTGTTTCTTTCGTTGTCGCTCTCTTAAAATATGAGTCTTCAGCGCCTGCCACATTTGCTCATTACGTTGCGGTGGTCCCATTATTGCCGGCATTCTATCGTCCTGACAATTTCTTTCCTTTTGTCCTTTCCTTTTTCGACGTTACGTATTTACCAATTTTCAGTTCTTCTGTGCTAGTCACACCAATAAGTTTTGTTTCTTGAACAGAATCTCTTAACCGTTTTCAGCAGCTTCGATAAGTATGACACACTACATACACACATCACACACTACACACACATTATACACTATCCAAAGAGGAATATCTTTATATATATATATATATTATATAGTTCCCCCCTCCTTTTGAGAGCGTCACAAATGCACACATTTTTATCGGACACACCACTCACATCGGCCAATGCATAGGAATTTTCTAGTGAGCCACCTATCAAAAGATCCGTTATTTAACTGACCAATTGGCAATGTGTTTGATTGGGCCTCACCCTTGATACCGTAATTTTCTTCACAATCTAACTTCACCATTCACTTCTATTGTAGACGGCTCTTTAGGCGTATGTGCTATACACTTGAATTCTTAGCAAGGTTATGATAATAGATGTAAACAATGAAAACTGAAATGTATACTGAAATAATGACGGTAATTCGTAATTTTCGAGGTCTATCTAGAGATTGCGCCAAAATGTTGAAGGAAAAGTATAATGAGTAAGGATTTGTCATTAATTTTTAATTGAAAGGGATAAGTATTGAAGTTAAACAATTTGCTAATTAATTTTTTTCATTAGAAACGTTAACCATAATTATCCCTTTATTATTAATCATTATTGAAATTATTTAAGAGATATCAAGATTATAAAATCTTTCATATATAGCATCCATCCGAACACACTGTATAGCATCTTATCATTAGAAATACAACAAAAAATGAAGACTAATCATGTTAGACTGTTCGGAAACAATAAAGACTATTATGACAGGTAAACTAGTCTTAACTTTCAATAAAATATTAAGTGATTATGCAAAATAAGAAAGAAAATATATATGTATATATTTTACTGTATATAAATCATAGTTATTTGGAAGCAGTACAGAATGGAGAGCCAGTAGGTATTCTACTGAGGATGGCAAAAGAAATTGATGCTGCGCCAGCTCTATTAGCACGTAATATTTTGGAAAAATATTGTATGCGTGATAATGCAAATGGTATAGTTAATGATTTACAAACAATAAAAAAGTTATAAATATTTTGAAATAAAGATACATAAAATTTTCTTTCAGCTTCAAAAAATCTAATTTCTAAGCTATTTAAAGACACGACACTAATTGAGGATAAAGATCTTGCATATGAGATTTATTTGGTAACAATCTAAAAAAATGTATAATGTTCTATAAAAAAGTTTTATATTTTAGTTTAATTATAGATTTTATAATGAATCTTATTTTATATATGATATATTTAATTACAACAAAAGTTACTAATTCAAATTACCTTGAAAAATAAAAATTTGATGAAAACTCATGATTTCATTTTTTTGTACAGTGTACATTATATGATGATCTGTATGGACCTATAGCTGATGCAATGGGAATGTAAGTATTTTTATATAACAATATAAAATTTTATCAATGAATTACAAAAAAAGTTATTCCTTTTCAGATGCATAGGACAAGAATATGAAATCAAACTTCAAGAGTATCTAATACAAAGAAATATTGCATTTCGTAATGAAGAACACTTACGATTACGAGGATATGACAAGACTCCAGATATTAAATTGGAAATACCAATCGCAGTGAATGGTTATGTAATAAACTGGATTGAATCCAAGGCACGATTTGGTAATATGGAAGTTCATCAAAAATACATGAAGGAACAATTCTTGAGTTATTGGAATAGATTTGGATCTGGATTAGTTATTTATTGGTTCGGATTTCTTGATTGCCTAAATAAATCAACTGAGAAAAAGTTCATTATAATGGACCATTTTCCTGAAAATATTACGTATATGGATCCAGCTTGTATTAAACCTGTAAATACTACATGATATTACTACATGATAATTAATATATATAATTACATGTCTATTTTTATATGTTCAAGATAATAATGTTGATACTTGTAAATAAATTTTTGTTAGACAATCTGATCAAAGAATTTGATATCGTTTCTGATTGTTATTGACATTGAAATATACATTATCGTTTTATACTTTCATGTAAATTGTAATTATTATATTTAAACCACAAAACCATTTATATTTTCCTCATTTTCTTCCTTAAATGTTTGTAAATCTGCCTTTTTGTACTTTATGAATTATCTAATTGAAGTAGACAACGAGTAAATGAATTCAATACTATATTTAAATTAATTAAAATCACAGTCATTAAAAATACATGACAATATATATACATATATATTACAATCTCTTATAATGAATTAATTGCACAATGAATAAAGCTATGATTATGAAATTGATATCTTCATTAAATGAAACTGGATATACTTCCTTGTATTTAAGTTTATCAGATCTTATCTTTCTTCCTATTTTTATCCGATACTGTATATTTGTCGTAACTTTTCGTTGGATCGAAGGGTTCCCATCTACTTGCTGGAAAAATGTGTTTGTTCCTCTCGTACCACGATCTAAAAAAACAAAAAAACTAGCTAAAAAATTATAAATAAATCATCATTTTAATTATTTTAATATTTTTTAAATTTAAATTAATATTTTGATAATAAATACCTAAGTAAAACTTTTCCTGCATGCGATTCCTCAGTTTCCACGGAAGCATCATGCATAACTCGAATATCATCATGCACGTCAAATGTAAATAAGGGTCCACTCTTTCCTCGTGCCTAAATATAGTATTGTGTATATTAAAATAATATGCCACATAAAAATAATTATAATAATAATAATACTGTCTCAATTTTTATGATTTAAATATTCTTACCTTAGTTACAATAAAATCATAGAATGTATAATGATGTGGTAATATAAGATCTTCTTTGACATACATCAACTGATCTGCCATTACTGTTTTAAGCTCACTAAATTCACGTCTTAGAACTTCCAAACATCTCTGAAGAAGCTGATAGATAGAATTACCTGCAAAAAAAGAGGAAAAATAATTTCAATAAACTTATGAATACTAATTATCAATACTCTATGAGAGTCTGCATTATATATAAATATTTTTACAAATTTTTTTATTTTGATTATTGACTTTATTTTGATTTTTGATTATTTTATTTTGATATTTACCCTTCTTCATTATAACACTTCGACGATGGCCAGATCCGTCCCAATAGCTGAATGTAATTTCAATCTCTTCTTCCTTCAGTGCATTCTGCTTTCTAGCCCATTCCTGTCTTAATTCCTCTCTAAGCTTATTTTCTTCTTCCTCCCTTTCTCTATCTGGTAAGAAACTTGTGTCGACATCTGGATTTTTCCTGATCTTCTTAATCACAGGGCCATTACTTTGCTCATCTTCTGATTTTTCTATGCTGTCCTCATCAGTTATCTCAGCTTCCTCTTCATCAAAATTAAAAGATAGAGCTTGAATCTGTCTTTTCTGTTTATTTTTTTCAGCCTGTTTTGCTGCTAATGCTCTTTCCTTTTCCTGTTCCTTTTCTCGTTCCTTTTGAGCAAGTTTTCTTTCACGCTCTTTCACTATATTCTCCTGCTTGGCTTTCATTTCATTCAATGTAACCAAGCCAATTGTAGAAGTCTTCAATTGTTGTTCAACAGCATTGTAATGAGTTGCAAACTTATTTTCTATATTATGAATCTTCAAGTCATCTTCGATCTTTTTCTTTCGCAGTTCTATTTCTTGTTGAGCAATTTCTCTTTTCTTCATTAACTGCATAGCTCGGCCAGCTTCACTGGCTGCTCCTTTATAATGTGCCATGTTTTACAATAATGTGATAACTAAATTACCACTCACAATATATGAATATCTTGAGGCTTCAATCAAATTTATAGATGCAAATCCTAAATAAAATATATATATTATTACACCTTTAAAAGTTGTAACATTCTTAATATTGAGTGTCACGTAATCTACATTGGACTTTCTATTCAACCCGTTTACATATATATATATTGCATATTATCTCTCTTCTTAATAAAAGATTAAATTTTTGTAGTTTTATAAAAATATAATTAATAAATAGTGTAAACATTAATCATTGATGGCTCACGCGACGTGAATAGAAAATACACGAAATTCTTGGAAAGACACTCAACAATAAAATAAAATATTCTTATCTTTTAAATATATTACAAATAATATAATAATAAATTTCTTTACCTAGAGCTCACTTTGTAATATAAATGTTTGGAAATATTTGTTGCAGTAAAACGGAGAGTTACAAAAGATACAACGAAAACACTTGGTATTTAACGACGCTGAAGATCGTTAATGGCTCCTGCGCATAGGACGTATCACGCGTTATGGCTTCTGCGCATAGAATGCGACACATAACAACGCGATAGCCAATCGTCGTTTAGCTTTTCTAATCTGAGATACACATTACGTGAGGCGCTACCGAGTGACGTCGCTACGAATTGAACTTCCGTTTGCTTTCAGTTTCGCATGAGACAGTCGAATAAACTAAAATTAAACAAAAAAAACTAGCTTTTTTAAATCTGGATAATTAACATTTGAAAAATCAAACAGATTAATTTAAAATGTTTTAGATTTCTTAAATTTTTATCTCTAAATAAATTCTTAATAAATACCCTTTCGATTTTTGATTGTACATCAAAATAGAGAAAAAAATAAAAAGGAAAACAAAACTAATAGCAAGAACAATATCTAATTGTAAAAATTAAAAATTTCTAATTAAACATAACTTGAATTCCTGAAAAGGAAAATTTTTTTCTAATTCACGTCTTACGTGCAAAATGAAATATCAATGCTCAATGATTTTACGCTCGATAACATTCTTTGGCCGATTGAGATTATCTGTCTGTTATCTAGGACAATGTAGCAAGAGACGAAGAGAGCCAGTTAAATTGCAATTGAAATCAACCGGTGCGTTAACGAAGCCGGTACCTGACAATACAACGTCGCGTAATTGCGCGCAACGATTATCTACGTAGTTATATTCAGTGAATTGAGTTGTACGTACGAGTTGCTCGAATCCCACAAGCGAATTCATTTCGTTGCGAATTGCGAGGCGAGATTGGCGGGCTTTTCGATAGGAGAAAACAAAAGAGGGAAGGAGAAAGAGGGAGAGAAACTTAAAACTTAAAACTTCCATTCGAAAGCGGAATCGTTCGAAGCCGCGCGACGGTCTCTCGATCGTCGATTTCGCCATCGCGGTCGACGACGAGCCAGCGGCGACGATGGGAAGGAAGGGGCACGCGCGGGAAGTAGGAAAGACCGGACGAAATTAATTGACCCTTTACTCGCGCTTGTTTACAAAATATCCGGCCTCTGACAGGACCAACGCGAATCGCGCCGCGTCGAGGCGGATGACTGCAACTTGAGAGCTGCGCGCGCATCAACGACATCTCCAGTGCTGTACGAAGGTAGCGCGAAGGTATCCCGGCGATATGCGTGCAATTGTGCGTAGTAGATCGGAGAGAACGTAAAATTCTCTCGAAGAATGCTGATCGATAGATTGGCCTTATATCGACGTGTTTTACATCGAAACGTGACAGATGAACATCACAGATGAACATTTGACTTTTCTGTCTTGTCTCTCTTCTTTTTTTTTTTTTTTTTTTTTGTTTTTCAAATAACAGATGCATCGTTGTATTTTGATATCTGCAATTGGGGCGAAGGATAACTTTCGTTTGAAGAGTGAAGTGAAAGAAGACTCGTCAACTCAATCGGAGTTTCGCGCGAGAAATAGGGTGAAAAACGACTCTCTCTCTCTCTTCGATCGGGCGAATTCGCGTTTCTCGTAAATTTCAAAGGCGTCGCGCGTTTGGCGCGGGGCGCCAGTAAACTAGTCGTAATCCTGAGAGCACGAGTCGCCACCATCGTTCGGCAAGCGCAGCACCACACGAGTAGCACAGTTTTTCGCACGGTTTCGTAGTAATATTTCAGGCGCCCTTAGCCTGGTCGCGTTCGCGCGCCGTCCCGTGTGGGAAGGAAAGAGGGAGAGAGAAGGAGATACGAGGAGCCTTCGGCCCAGCCACAGAGGCGGCCGGCGGCAGGACGTTGCGTTGGGTTCTCGGCGGGTTTTCCGTGCGGTTTCCCGGCGTGGCTCTGCCAATCGTGGATCAGCAGACGGCGGCCGGTCCCGCCGGCGGAGCTCGCTTCGCGCGCGTCAAGTTGCTTGCGAACGCGGGCGCACAGGCGAGGGGAGCCACACGCGAGCGACGGCGAGGGAGAGTCGCGAGGACGACGGTCGGACGACGTTGTCGCACGCACGCACGCACCGACACGAGCGGACGTTCCGCCGAGCAGTCGTACGGTGGTGTAGGGTCGGTGGTCGGGACGGTGGTGGGTTGACGGCGAACGAGAAACGAGGGCGGCCTACGAGCGATATTTCCCTGCGTGTCTGATGAGCTCCTCCGCCGCGCCGCTGCTGGTGGTAAGATGGCTGTGCAGCTGGACGGAGGAGGGAAGGAGGACCTGAAAACACAATTCGTCACGCGGGAGGGCACCTACAAGCTGATGACCCTGTCGGAGTACTCGAGACCGAACCGAGTCGGCTACACCAACAGCCAGGGCAGCGCGTCCGTCAGGGTGTCCTTCGTCACGCTGCCGGACCCAGCGGATCCCACGGGCGCGCAAGGCCTCGGCGACCGAATGTGCTTCAATTTCGGCAAAGAGCTCTACGTCTACGTCTACCGCGGCGTCAAGAAGGTGAGCGCGGACGGCTCGAAGTCACCTCGACGATGGCGAGACGCGTGACGGCTACTCGGGTAGCCTACCCTAGTCACGCGAGCTGTGTCGTAGCGACCTAACCTCCTCGCAAATGTCGCGCGGTCGAGATCTCCATCGGGAGACCTCCATCTTTGCGGCTGGCTCGATTTCGCTGTGCATCTGCATCCCCCGCGATGACGAGCGCGATGTCGAGAGTTTCCCCTGAGGTCGACTCGCGTCAAATCGTCGTTCAATCTCTTCTTGTCTCCCTTATCTTTTTTTTTTTTATCTGTCAACGAGCAAGCTGACGTCCCGACGATGAACGTTTGTGCTGATATTTCTCGGAATTGTTACGGAGTAATCGCACGAATAACATCGTAGATAATATCGATTCTCAATATTTAATTTATCGGTTTATTCGTTAAAAAATTAAAAATCGATGAAATTATAACAATCTTTTTGGCCGACCATAGATTTTTATAGATAACGTCCGAAATTTTGTTTCTGAAGAAATTTACAAAATGATTTCATTTTATTATATGTTCTTTTAAGCTTTTATATGTGGTTACTATGAAATAAATTAACGAAAGGGGATTTGAAAAAATTGAATGCTTACACTGAATCGACTTTAATTTGACACTTTGTTAAAATGTTTCAGGCTGTAGATTTGAACAAACCGGTGGACAAAAAGTTATATAAAGGAACTAATCCGACCTGCCACAATTTTAATCAAACGACAGCGACGGCTGATAGTGCTCCATTGTTGGTGGGATTTTCCACAGGGCAGATACAGTTGATCGATCCAATAAAAAAAGACAGTTCTCAACTCAGCAAACTGTATAATGAAGACGTATGTAAAAGCAAATTTTACATGTTTTACAAATTTCCATCGAGTTGCTTGATTCTTGAGAAAAACTTCTCTATTGCACTTGCTCAAAGAGAGAGAGAGAGAGAGAGAGAGTAATTTTGCAACTTTTCTGCGAGCTATCTTACATACAGATAAATAATCTCATAATTCAAACAGTATTCTCTATGCAACTAATATTACTGTAGTTTCCTAGCGATGTGTACAAAAGCTGTTAACACTTATCCGTTCTTGATGATATGTCTGTGTTATCTTATTGAAACATGATAAACTGAAAAATGAATGCCGGTTTCAGGATGTCTAACACTATCCGCTACATCCTGCAATGATTGTATCTAATATTTAATAGTATATTGTCTGGATTACTTCATACCGGTAGACCCGCGCATTAACGCAATTATATCTCAATCAAATAATTAAGCTCAACAAGCACAACATTACATAACTTTCCGTTGTCTTCTTGCAACAGACGTAGGCCTTGGTGGAACAACTGTGCCGCCTATTTTAAATGCATTCCGGCCTCAATGAATGTCTAATGATTCATTATTGTCGTATATACGCGTTTCATGAGACGTGTACATAATGTACTTTTTGTTTGTCTCTTAATATTTCAGTATTGTTTCTAAATCATATACCGGTGTTATTTTCTTTTTATCTTTGTTTACCAATCGTAACTTGGAGATTACGGTATAAAAATCTACTTCTAAGCTTTGTATCTTCAAACAGAGAGGAGTATAGTTGTTTACTCAACTTATATTTCTATATTAAACTTTATAAAATTTGAATAATTTGGGTGCAATATAAGATTATGATATAAGATTAATAAATTTTAAAAAGCTTTTTGTAGCGTTAAAACTTTTTTTTTCTAAAGCTGATCCTTTTCTAAAGCTTAATTTTCTTTTGTTTTGATACACTTTTGTCTTTAATAAGGAATATTTACATTTCAGAGGCTGATAGACAAGAGCAAGGTGACATGTATAAAGTGGGTTCCTGGCTCCAACAATCTATTCCTGGTCTCTCACAGCTCCGGTCAGCTGTATCTTTATAATGAAGAGTTGCTCTGCGGCACCACTGCGCCGCACTATCAGTCATTCAAGTCGGGTGACGGATACGCTATATATACCTGCAAAACCAAGTCCACCAGGAATCCGCTATATCGATGGGTGATAGGCGCGGAGGGTTGTTGTATAAATGAATTCGCCTTTAGTCCGTGTGGCACAAACTTAGCCGTGGTATCCCAGGATGGATTCCTACGTGTTTTTCAATACAATACTATGGAGCTGGTCGGATCGGCAAGAAGCTATTTTGGCGGTTTTCTGTGCGTGTGCTGGTCGCCGGACGGACGTTATGTGGTGGTAGGCGGCGAAGATGATCTGGTGACTATCTGGAGCTTCCATGAGAAGCGAGTCGTGGCACGGGGGCAAGGTCATCATAGTTGGGTGAGCGTGGTTGCATTCGATCCGTACACGACGTCTTATGGCGATCACGATCCGGACTTTAGCGGTTCGGATGATGAGACAACGATGCCGCACAACAATCACAATCACTTCCACGAGAAGTCGCACCGTCTGTCCACAACTTCGCAGAGTGGTGGCGGCGGCGGCGGCGGCGGCGGCGGCGGCGGCGGCGGCGGCGGCGGCGTTCATTCGAATCGTAACTCTTGTGGCTCTGAATTAAGAATGTCGGGCGGAACGTGCTATAGGTTAGGCAGTGTATCCCAGGACACCCAATTGTGCCTATGGGACATCACGGAAGATGTACTGAGGCAACCGGTGTGCGCCAAACAGAGACCTTCTGCGGCGTGCAGCACCAGTGGAGGTACCTTGTCATCCTCGGGCACGTTCAGTAGTGGCAATGGCGCGGCAACGACGGCGAATCATCATTCAAATTCGAACGCAAAACACAATAACTCAAATAACATAAACTTCAAGGAGAACGCGAGTGGTAATAATGAGACTAGCAACAATAGCAGTAGCACGAATGCCGCGGTGGCGACTGTGAATTCACTGACGCAGAGGCTAGCGGGTCTTGGCTTCGGCGAACGTAAAGGTGATAATCACAAGAGAAACTTTAGTCTCACTATGCGAGGAGGTGGCACCGGTGTGACAGCAATGACGGCCAACAATAGCACGATGACGGTCGTGCAGAACAATGGTAGCGACAAGACGAGCACCGGCAATTCGACAAACACGACGAGTAGTAGTTTGAACAACAGTGTCGTTGGGGGTTTAGTAGGTGGGACGGGAAGTAAAAAGATTAGTTCCGTGATGGACGATCCTATGAGGTTGATAGGAACCGCCTGGTGTCCCAGGTTCGACGAGTGCCCGGTCCTCGAGCCGCTGGTGTGCAAGAAGCTGGCGCACGAGAGACTGACTGAATTAGTGTTTAGGGAAGATTGCTTCGTGACGGCGTGTCAGGACGGATACGTGTACACGTGGGCGAGGCCCGGCCACATGGTAGGTCCTCTCACGATAAGCAGCACCCTGCACAGGCCATCACACCATCATAGCAACAACCCCTACACTAGTAATATCAATTCCATGCGGTGTAACGACCTCTGATGTAATCTGTTATTTCCAAATCGTTATTTAGCGAGTCCATCAAGTAGAGTTGGTTGGTCGGAAAATTCAAGAATTCTGTACATATATACGTAGAGTTAGAATCTAGGACGATGTTATCGTGACAAAAGTGGCACAGAAAAATCTTGTAATGCTCTTTTCGATAGTCTTCCTATCGCTTACCATGGTAATGGAAGGATATCTTGAAGATAAAATGATTGTTCTGACTTGGAAGTATTAGAACAAGATACATTGACGAATTCGGTATTACCTTGCCGGATGTTTGATACGACGATCGCGTCGCTGTTATTTAAGTTTTATATATTACAATCAGTATATTTCATGCTTAGAGAGTCCCTAATCACACGTTTAAGTCTACGACTTTAGGGTATATAATTGCGTTTCAAGTCTATTAGTATTGGGAGGTGCCATCGTAGAGAAAACATTGAGGATTTTTTTTTTAGTATTTTTCTCTAAGTTTATATTGTGTATGTAATTGCAGAAGTACATGGACGGACGATACTATGAGTGAACAAATCTATAGTTTAAAACGTGCTTATTATTGAGTAGTTAATTATAAATTGAATTTTATTTTCTTAATTGAATTTTTCTTTCTCTTATAATATTATTATTTTTTTAATTTTTCTTTTTTATACACAATGATGAGTATCTTACTGATAATTTTTTGTCTTTTACTGAGGACATTCCATTAGGTAGAATAAATTTTCTTGAATACAAATCTATCCAAAGTGCATGAAAATAGATATTTCAAATTAAGTAGTGTAGAGCGCGTGCACCACTATCTATTTTTTCGGATATGTTATTTTTGATGAATATATTTCTTTTGCGAGAAGCGAAAGAGCTTACTCTTCTATTTAGATGTTATCAATTCTATATCTGTTATTGCATGCGCTGCGAATAAAAAACACAGTATGTGCTTAAAGTTCATTCATAGTATAGCCTGTCGTTGATACCTGTGCCTAATGATGGTCTGGTCAAGATTATATTTTCGCGATAAATATTACAGAAATTACGCGAGTTATAGTATAGAGATCAAATATTGATATATTTATGTTTTTGGTTTGCATCCTCGAGAGAGCAATGTTGTTTGAGCCCTTATGAGGTCTCGTGACAGGGCAGGCCCCTTTATTGAAGGAAAAATCTTCTTTCTATCTTCTGTAAAGTGTTATTTAGCTTTAGCCGACCATTGATAGAGAGTCAACGAAAACAAATTATTTAGCAAAACCGTCGTCTATCAGACTTACGACACAAGATGCGAGAACATTTAATCCTTTGTTGAAAACGATGAATTTTGCCTTGTTGTACAATAAAGCGAAAATTTGAATGAACGATCGCTGCTTGCTTCCCGCTTGTTGAAATTTTGTTCAATCAAGTGCAATGCAGAAGCTCCAGGGAGAAAAACGACCGGGCAGTCTTTTAAATGCGACACACGTATACATATGCATACGTACATATGTATCGTGACACATGTAAGACGATGTTTATTTACAATCTGCTGATGAAACGTCGCATGTTTCTTTCTTACCTTCCTTTCTTTCTTATGTTATATACAGTCGGCAATCTTAGATCCCGAACTTAGAAATACTCGAATATAGTGTATCCTGGGCGTTTTTGCATAGAGCATTTGCATCACGAGAATACCCCTACACTCTCACCTTTTCATTCTTATAGCCTTGACCAAAAGTACGGGGAGGGGGGGGGGCAGCCTCATTAAATTGCGATCGGTTAAACTAGTCGGCACTTGCGACTTTGGTATTATGAGTACTGTAATGCGATTATTTATTATATCGAATATAAAGAGTTTAGCCGCTCCTAATTGATTCACGTTACTCTAAGTAGTACCGTGTACTTATATAAATTTAATGAAAGCAAGTCTTTCGCGCTTTTGGCCAACGCTGCGAAATATCTAATTAATTGCGGAGCTCGCGATAAAGTTTGTTACAGCGTGCGTTGTCTTTTTTTTTTTTTTTTTAATGGTCGCGATTTAATAATTTCATTAGCGCGTTTTCTAATTTTAATTAGCGTGATCGGACAATGCTTGCGCTTACTTCTCAATCTGCCGATGAAGCATTAATTCCTTTTTCTCACTTTTGATTGATCGGAAAGATTAATGTTCTGTACCACGCTTTGGCTGATGCAAGAGAATATCGTGGATGAGACTTCCCTGAGTTATCGCATGGTACGTATATATGACTTATCATTTTCCGTTTTGCTTTATTTACCGCTTGATCGGACTTGTCAGTGGAAGTAGAATAGTGTACACGCTCGAATCATTTACACATTGTTTTTGTCGAGACACCTCTCGGCAGCGCTTCTGAATTTTAATATACCACGAATAAGCACTATATACTTCTTTGCTCTCACGCACTTGCCAGATCTGCATTATTCCCGAAAAATTTCCGCGATCGAAGATAAGAAAAAAAAAGTGAACTTCACTTGTTCACAGAGAAACCCACTTATAAATAATTTTTAATCTATATCGCGTAACTTTATTTATATAAGATATCAATTCCGATTCTTGATAAAGGCACAAATTATCTTAACAAAGATAATGAATTCTTAAATCTAATTAGCTAATTAGAAATTAGCTTGGCGAATTGTTTGTTGAAATTTTTTTCTATATAGTCATTTTTATTTTTAATTGCTTACTACCGTAGAAATTCACTGGAAGAAAAGAAGAAGAAAATTTGATTTACGATATGACGATAAGGAGACGCGGCGAGAGGTTGCTGCACAAACTTTTTTTGGGGAATAACGCGTACGTTTATTAGATGATTAGTGGATGATCAGAAGCGCGCAGTTACGCGTCGTGTCGTCGGTTTCTGTGTGGTTCAACGAGTGGTTTCGCGTTGCCTCTAATTTCAGCCAGGGATCAGCCAGGTCGGCGGTGCCGCTCTCCACGTGGTCAGTCCGGTGGAAGGCGGCGGTACCATAGTATAGCCGGAACCGGACACCGACGCCGGTCTACCACGAGGTCATCTGGGACCGTCGCAGGGATCGTCGCAGGCGTCCGAGGCGCAGCTTCAGCAGGCGTACGCACGCCGACGTCATCTGTACTACGTGTGGCCGAGCGAGAGCTACTCCGACACGGTTTAAGCGAGCGGCTCGGACTCGACGCCATCGTCGAAGAAGCGGACGAATTGAAGTGGGAATCCGAGGGCGAGGGATCCACCTCTGCGAGGATGTTGCGTTGGATCCTCGGATATCGGACGGAATTTTATCTTAAAATTCCGCGCGACTCTGGGTCTTCTCGTCGTCGTTACACATCTTGATTCTCTTTAAGCTTCATCTTGATGTTAACGCGAATGCGAAAGTGGATGGAAGGCTCGATCGCGCGGAATATCTTTCAAGTTTCAAGAGAATTTTAATTTTTTTTTTTTAACAAGTATAATCAATTTTATATAAAGGAATGTGAGTGAAGTGCGGAAATTCTGTCTTTACAGCCTAAGAGAGCTAACGTCCGAAGATCTCGAAGATTGGATCTGCCTCAAGCTCGCAGGATGGATTCCTTAATAATAAATTCTCTTTAATTCGCCTTGCGTTTTGCGGGGCGCAGCTCGCGCGCGGCTTGACGCTTAAAAGACACACGTCATACAGCGCTTTTCGTTTTTTTTTTTTTTTTTTTTTTCGGTACAAGCCGCTCTTCCGGTGCATATCATTTCTTCTTCCTCTTTCTTTCTTCTCCTCGACAACGTCGCGGCGGCAGCGGCGGCGACAGTGACGACATTGTACGATCCCCCCCTCCCCCTCCCCCATGGGATCTCTTCTTCTCGAGAAGACCCGCGAATCGGAAGCAATCTGCTGTGTATACATGTACATAAGTACACAAGTGTGTAAGTCCGATGACAGATACGTTGTATCATTCCAAATAAAATTTCGCAGCGATGCGGTGCGGTGCTCAGTTGGTGAGACGCGCGGGTTCCGGCGTCCACCAGAGCGTTCTCGTGTATTTATTATTTTGAAGCGTTGAAATTTATATAGACCTAAGCCACACGAAGATGTAGAACAGAACGGAATCGAAGAGAGATATAGGTCGATCTAACGTATGTTCTAATAGGCCATATACATATATATATAAGTAACCTGTTCTAACTTTGCTCATTGCGATGCCATAGATCGAATTGCAATTCCGGGCAAAGGAAACGCCATTTACATTTGTAAGAAACGATATCGTAACGTTTTGAGATGTTGCTTCGCGTCATTCGGATGTCGGCGAAGTATAACCGGAGAACATTAGTTTCCCGATAGAAGTTTATTTATTTTATTAACTTTTCATTCGGACAGAAATTGTGACTTGGGTCTCTATCATTCTCAGCTGCTTCATTTTCGGTCGATTACTTCGAACTCGGAAATATTCCGCAAGGCGATACTATAGTTTTTAATTTATATTACAAATACGTAGGATTTTATTATCACATCGATCACGAAATACAATGTTAATTTACATTGTTGTAGATCAACTGTTGTAGATCCGTTTCCAACAGCTCATTTCGTCGATTAGCTTCGATCACGAGCATTTCTGCGCGATTCAGGGATTAAATATCTATTGTTATATTTTTCGGGCTTCTACACACAATGAAGCCCTTTAATTTATTATCTGCGCAGTAACACGTCGCAGCACCGTTTACTTCAATTTTATCCACTTGATAAAAAAAAAAACTCGACGCAGAAAGCGAAGCTGTAGATAAATCCCCTGGAAACTTGTGTGTTGTTTGTTGAGAGAGAGAGAGAGAGAGATGAATAAAAAAAAATTATATATAAATATAAAAAAATTGATATAACGTTCCAAAAGGCTGTAAGATCGTACGTATTAACCAAGTACAAAGAGAGATGGGCGCAAAGAATATCTTTTCTCCATATTCCCTTTTTCATTTTCCGAAACGAATGGAAATGTCATTTAATTTCTCCCCGGACGTTTTCCGTCTAATATCTGCAGCCTCGTTTACGTCATGCTTGAAATCCTTTAATATCACGACACACCACCGTTTTTCGCGACGTACACAACGTACACACCGTCGCAGAAATTCTATCGGGACACTGATATATTACGCCGATAAGGGGGCCGATTCGATAAGAATTTTCGTTTCGATATTTTCGCTCTCGTACGACGGGTTACCTTGCCTCGAGGCATGACGTCATCGTGTCATTATTTAGCAAGCGCAAGCTCGTTGAAGGTATGCTGTGATATGTGTGCTACTACGTGACGACACCGATCCGAGCGGCTGGAAGATCACTTCCAAGATCACGTGAATGACGTGGATGACGATCGCATTTGCGGACGATACCTCTTAATCGCTGATTTAGTTTCTTACCTGCTACATAGGCAACAAACAAAGCCGGCCTGCGACACACTAGACCACCTACAATTCATCATCTAACGATTCTGCGAGAAAAGGGACAAGGACGAACTTGAACGAATCGACGGAGATCTATGTCTGACTCGACGATCTAATATCTTGAGATCGAAATCTCTTAATCTCTTGTTATCTCTCTGTTTACTTATATAACTCATATGCTAGTCGAGCGATGTAATTGAATTGTGAAACAAAAGCTTACTTATAACACATCTTAATGTCGATTTATATATATGTATAAAAATTCTGCTTTTTGGCAGAAGAAAACACGAATTAGAAGACGAAAAAAATTTGCAACTTGTCGCGAGATATCCAAATGTCTATGTCGATTCCTTCAAGTACATCGTCCTTCGTGGAGGAGATCGCGATCTGTAAAGTTCCTATTTCATAAGCTAAAGCGGCGAGATTCTTCAATCGACGATGGATTCCCGACGAGGGTTGGAAATGCGTCTTCGGCTTCTGCACCGCGACGGACGGAAAAGCTCGCCGATCAACGAATGCTGAATGGATTTTCGGATTCTGCATGCGGTGAACGCGTGCGTGAACAGACGGATTTAACATGTGTTCAAATCAATCGTAGGATCATGTTCAAATCAACTTGCGATTTCGTTTCTTCCGGGCACGGGCATGATCGAGTTTCCCTTCGGGAGCTTGCGGCGCTCTTAGGGGATGAAATGTTTAATTGCTTTCAGGAGACTGACGGACTGACCGATTTGACAACCCGTGCATGGATTTCTCGTTCTCGCCCATCATCGTCGTGTAAAGAAACAAGGGACTTCCCTTCGTCCGAGACGTATCGAGACGAAAAATAACGCAAATAATCGCGATATTGTAAATCACGTTAATAAATCGCGCTGCTCTAACAATAAATCGCAAGTGACATTTGCGAACGATTTAATGACGACTTCGTCTTTCAAAGTGCTCCTAGTAAAAAATATGTTTTGTTATTAACTGATAAACAATCATTCTGAGGTAGAATATAATATATACGTATTATTTCTCTACAGAAATACAATTATTTCTTAAGGACAGTTTCGTTATTAAAATATTGTCTGATTAATGTTTGTTCGCTTATTAGAATTATTTTTACTAGAAGAAGTTGCGCAAAGTAAAAAGAGAAGATAGGCGCATTAAAAGTAACATTTTCTAAATTATATAATTGATCAGAAGCACTTTGGCTGACGAGGGAATACCTGTTTGAGTTACTTTGAGCCAACCAGCGTCATTTCGCGGCTTGGAAATGGGAGGACAGATGTTTCACATTTTACCACACGACACTTCCTTCCGCTTTCACGTCTGCGGGATGATTTTCTCGGTTGTTACCGTATCTCTCGAGATATCGAATTATGTACAAATGTAACGACACACATTCGCGTAGCTGAACAAGTGCGCAGTCTGCAGAAATAACGGTAATGATGAAGGGGTGTAAAAAGAAAAAAAGGGATTGCGATTGCGAGAGCGTGCTTAATTCGGATGTATGCGTATATGATAGCGGCGATATATATATATATATATATATATATATATATATATATATATATATATATGTAGCCGCTATATATACAGTCTAATTGATTGCAAAATATCCTCACACACCCGACGAACAACCGAATCTGGCATCTCTCCGGCAGTTTTTTATGAGACCTTTCCACGCAAAGAGCTTTATGGCATCGCGTCAGATCTGTACTGACTAACTTCTCGGCGCATTTCTCTTTGTTTGTTTATAAGCGTGTACATTCTTTGTAATTGTAAATGAAAGACATTTCATTGTTAAACGCTTGTGTAACTTCTTATCCCGCATCCGACTTTGCTGTTCCTCCTCTTCTTCTCCTTTTCCTCCTCTTTTCAGCATGGTCATGCTTTTATTAAATTAATTAATTAAATTAATTAATTAAATTTTTCTAGTTCTCTAGTAACATTCACACTTAACAATGCGATTATACAAAGTGTCTTATTTCTGTTTATTTGATTTTCAATTCGCTATTAAAACTCGGTAGAAAAAAAGGAGATTGATAAAAATTTTTTCTTTACTTTAATTTTGTTTTTTATCGGAAAGAACTGGGAGCATAGCTTCGTGTATTATTTATTAGAATATTAAAATAGGTGGATAAAAATACGAATAAGAATAAAAGTACAAATCATTTAGTAATTTCGTGTCGTAGCCAACTGCGTCCGAAGTGTAACACATATTGACCTGTCGCAAATCCTTACAGTCTTTTTTTTTGTGGATTGCGCAAGAGAGATTTTTGGTGACAGTCCGAAATGTCCGATGGTCTCGCGTTAATTTACCTACTCGGAAATTCATTATGACAAAAAAATTGCAAATAGTGCGAGTGGACAATGATCTGGTACAGAAAGCGAATTTACTGATCGGCAACAACATTATTGGCCGTGGCGCCGCAACAGGAGTGAGTTACATAATTAATTTTTTGCGAAAGCATAGAGTTAGTTTAATGAAACGTCACGTGAGATGTTATTTCGAACGAACGAAGAACTTGTCCCTTGACACAAAAAATCCTATATAAGATAGATCGCGCGGGATAAAAAAAATGACTGAACTTTCTACGAAATTCTCTGGAAATTCCTCCGAATTCTATTCAAGCTGGAGCCAAGCCGAGCTGAAATGGAAAGGCATTAAATATTCCTCTCATATTTGCAATTCGGAATTGAAGTTGACGTTAACGTGCGTGAACGTGCGGATAAGTTGACGTGTCACAGGATTATCTGTGCAATCGTCTTGTCGGATGATTCACAGCTACGCTCGAGAGACTCGAAATGTAGCGCATTGATTCCGGCGATCGCTGCTCTCGGAAAATTATTTATACACGAAGATAAATTACCTTACCGCATGAAATTGTGCGCATATATCGGGAGATTTAAATATCAGCGTATCATAATTCGATTCATCCTTACTTTGAGCAAATAAATATGTTTCATTTATTTCTGAAATTCTACATGTAGTATATATATATATATATATATATATATATATATATATATATATATATATATATAATATATAGTTAAGTTATTTTATATTATTATATATATACTATATATATATATATATATATATATATATATATATATATATATAACGTTATATGCTAAGTACATATTTAAAGGGGATTTTTCTTTCAGATTTTCTAATCTAATTACCTAGATAATTAAATATAATATAAATTAATATTACATAATTTTTATATTTTTTTATAATTAATAATGTAATAATGTTCTTTGAATGATCAACAATCGTGGTACACAAAACCGAAATTTAAAAAACGTGCATCATGAACATGTACTTTTGTACGTTCGTGTACGCGACAACTCTTCTCGCAATAGACTATTTATGACTATTTATGACGTCAAGTGTAAGTTTGATCATCACATGATATAGCCGATGATAGCGGCGTATTTGGCCGCGTCACTGCTGTAAAAGATGCTTATTAGTTCTCATCTCGGAAAAATTAATTGCGCATTTAGATAGTGATATTGCAATCGGGAACGATCCTCGAAATGATAATTCAAGCACGAACGAGGAATTGTGACGTAGCATTTTCGCAAAAGGATCGAATATCGCGCCGTAGACGTGTACTTTCGCGAAATACGTAGAATGATTAAATCTTAAAGATAACATGTTGCGTAAGAAAGGAATGGACGGTCAACTCCAATAAAATTATCTAATCCTTATCTTATCTGGATAATTATCTACGCAGATATATGTTGAATTCAACATTGTTTCATCTTACAGAAGTAATATTTTTGATAAGAAACTTTTTTGTCTTTGTTGTACAAAACTACGAAAGTTGCTACAGAGTCGGATTTTGTAGTTTGATTTTTAAATATTTACAATACCTAAAAGTATCTGCACTTTATTGCACTCTGCAGTGCAAATCTAGTTACATATTAAGCTAATTATTTATTCTTGCTTTTTTAAAAAAATTACCCTATAGAGAACTGCAAATAATTCTCCTGAATTATAAATGTCGCAATTACATTACAAATCTCTCAATATATTTAGCCACAATGTGGATGAACAAGAGTTCATCTAAGATAGAGAGATCTCCATAATCTCTCCTGACGACTCTTAAAAAGATCAGATGTGGTATCGCGGTTGATAATGTCGGTATTCTTGAATTGTCTTCGGGAATTTACCCACAGCACAGAAGGCACCTTTTACATCTTACATTTCGTCAACGAGTCGTTCAACTAAAGGGTGGCGCAGTTATTATTTTGGACACTATCGAAAATCAACGGTTTTCAATTTAATGTGCAGATTACGGGCGCACATGTTTTTGAATGTTTTTCTCTCACTTGAATATTGTAAGACAGATTAGTTACAAATGCTAGATCAAGAAAGAAAAAAAATATAGGATTAATTTTAAGTCAATAAAACGCGAATGACGACGTGCCGAGGAATTTTTTTTCATCGGTTCATTGATAACGCATCATCGCGCGCTCGTTTGATTAATTGAAGGATTAATTGATTCTCGCTAACGGGAAATTTATATATTAATTTAACGATCTCTTACCACTGTCGCAGTGCAACGACGGCCAAGTTCTCAAACACGCCGTGACCATCAATCTATCGCCCAACGATGAAATGACGATTACTCCGGTAAGTTCATTCGTTCTCCTTATTCATCTTACACACATCGGTATTCCGATAATAATGCTTATCCGATGATCTCCATGATAATTCAATTGACAACACATGTAATAATAGTAGAGGAGTTAATAATTTTAATACCAATAGCCTTTGTATCAGTTATGAAAAGAAATTATGTAAGAAAATATGTGTGATAGCTTATTTATTTTTTTACTACCGCAATGTATAATAGTTGATAGCATCAGTTTTCTATAGAGACTATTTTCTAGTATTAGGTGGCACCATGTTACATGAAATCTGCTGGATGCGCACGATGGCGATCTCTTGAATTAGGAAGCAGTGTACCGATAAAGCCAGGCGACGTCTGTTCTCTGTTACCTGACAAATGCTGGTTCAAGATCATCTCAGTGCCAGATATGATGCAGGAAAGTGATCAGATATTAAAGAGAAAGGTATAACGACCACTATTGACATTCAAAGGAAATTTTCTATATTAAAATTTTCTATATTTTAGGCTGATCAGGAAGAGCTAAATAATAAAGCAGATTTAAGTAAGAAAGCATGCTTATTGTCTAACATGGAGGTTGTATCTCCCAGTGAAACTTTGAATGGTATTCTTCATGAGAAGGATCCATCGAACGAATCTAAGAATTCTCATATTCAAGGAAATGGAGAACATGGAGACAAAGATGCAACTGCCCCAGTGTTGCAGGAAATCTATTCCGCAAGGTTCATTTCAATTGCAATCAAAAGCAAAAATATGGTGATACCTTTATTCATCATCTCTTTCTTCTTGCATGTTTGATTTTCAGTTCTCCGGAGGGAAGTAATATGCCTGCATCGTGTTCCCAGATGTCAATAGATTCACAGGACATAATCGAATCTCCCATTGAGCATGAAACTAATAGGAAGCGCAAAGCAAACAACAATGTAACAAGCGAAGTCGCCACTAATGTCGAACCTGGCAAGAGAATCAAATGGGATTGCGATACGCACTTCAGTGATCAGATCGAAGCAGCTTCATCAAATAATCCTCGATCGCCTGTCGCCACATCTCCAAATCTAGCGAGTGCATCGAATCCTGATAGAGTCCCTAGAGAAAAGTGCATGTACGGCGTTCGATGTTACCGGTAAATAAAATAATAAAATAAATAAATAACGATTTAGTCTATTATCAAAGTAATTTCATCAAAGGAAGATACACACTTTTAAAGATATTTTTGATAAACTGATTTGCAGAAAGAATCCCAATCACAAGAACAACTACAGTCATCCGGATGATTCCGATTACGACGAAATTGACGATCGGCAGGAATGTCCGTATGGTGTAAAATGTTATCGTAAAAATCCGCAGCACAAGGCGCAGTTTAAGCACACAATCACGCCACGTCGTCGTCGAAGAGCCGCCACTCCTGTACATTCTGTGATTATTGACAATACGTCCGAAACGGATGCATCATCCGCGGAGGAATCCGTGGATGAGTCTGATTATGAGCCGTCCGTTTGTACGGACAGTTCAGACGATTGGGACGACAGGAGCGAGTTAGAAGACGGTACAACTGGTTAATAATGGACATTATTGATCTTGTCATACCACCACTTTCGATAGCGTCCAAATTACAGATGTAGATCTATTTTATTATGGAATATTTATTTTTGTACTCGGATTTAAAATGTTATACCTGCGTATTTCTATATTTGTTTTACTTGAAGAAAGATATATTAAAATGTTAATATCACAACACACCGCATCCATTTACATTTTGTGTTGAAAAACGTTGTTATGGATATATTAATCTGATGCATTCTAAAAATATAATTTTTATTTTAAATAATATTTAAATAATATTTAATATAATTTGGTACATTATAAAATTATATAATAATTATATAATAATAAAAATATTGAGCGTTAAAAATTGAGTCAAGATCAGAATAGTTTGAAATAATGCAATACTTGACTGTTTTTATTTTGCATCAGATCGATAAGTTCGTAATAACAAAAAATAATTTCAGTTAATCGTCGTTTCTTAAAACATTTATATTAAAATGCTTGGTATCCTTCATCATCTTCAGTGGCATATTCTTCAGCCGCCGCGATAGCCACATCGGCTAATATGTGCTTAGGTATTTCTGATCCTCGCACTTTGATAGTGTAACATGCGTTTTCCATTTTGGTCAGGCTATGCTTGAGCGTAACAATTTTTTTGTTTATCTCATTATTATACACTACACTGGTGTATCCCAGAAAGGCTATGTATATCTTTCTAACAAAATTACATGTTTGGTAACAACTGTTAACGTCGCCTATTGCTAAGTTATTAATGCACTTTCGCATTAATTCTCCAGTCAGATCAGCTATTCCTAAGATATAATCTGTTGGCGTGATCATGACTTGTATCGTCTTGGATGTAGTTTGTTCTTGAGTATCAACTGGAGTTGAAGTTGTGTGATAGGTTAGTGATCTTTCCAGAGCAGTTGAGTTCTGTATGCCACCGTTCTGTAAATATTCATGGAATGTAAGGGCCTCTATATATTCTTCCAAACCGGCACGATAAGCCCTGTGAAACTGATAAGCATCCTGACCGTCCAACTCGTTTGCGACATTTCGAAATAATTTCTGTGCTACGTTATCCAGTCTTATCTTGGCCACGTCCAGCACAGAATTTCGCTTGCTTTCCTTATCAATTGTATGTAACAAGAAGATAATTCTTTTGCTCTCGATGCCCACGTCTCGATTGATCTTGAAGATTCTTTCATAACGATCATGTTTAGCGTCCAGTTCAGTTGCATACGCGCGAAATTGTTGAACCACAGGATCATCTTCGTTTATGTCCTCCACTATTTCCCTGCCTCTGTCGCCGAGATTGATTTTATCCTTATCATGATGTCTGCGATTTCTCCTTCCTACAAGTAATGTTAATATAAAAGAAATTATTTAATTCAAAGCAATAAATTTTTCAAAAACATTTCAAGAAGTAGATGCATTTGTTTCTTTCTGTATCTAGTACAATAAAAAAGTCAAGCTACACTAAACGAAAAAGAAAAGTTTTATGAATCAAATCTCAATTTCAAGATAAAGTAATATTGCTATATTGAGATATGTGAGAACATAATAATGTTAGTTTTAATATCGAGAAGGAGAGAACTCAGAATTTTGCAAAGAAATCCAGATTTGTTACAACAATGAAATAATCCGTTTTCTTTAGATTTCGAAGTCATTTTAGGTGGATTTTTCAATCTTGAGATTAATTTTTTTTAAAAATTATCTTTAACTTGTCAGCTGTCACGGCAGCTTCATATGGAACTGACGCTAATCGATGACGAAAAACTTATAAGATATCTTACAGTGTCGCGATTAGCGGACTTACCTCTTCCCTGTGACATTGCGATTTCTCCTGATTAATTCGCTTATTGATGGTATACAAGATGTATAGATCGATTTCCGGATTATTTTCGCGCGATGTTTTCGACGCTACAACAAACATTTAACTCGATACAGCATTAACTTCAATACAGCATTAACAGATGGAAGCCTGAGAGCGGCCATCATGACCTTTTTGTGGGACTGTTGAAATCTCCGTACACTAGCACCCTCAGTTCCATTTTATTATATTGGAATTAATTTGCCACTTCCATTTTCTGCCGATAAAATCCCATTCTGATATTATTTATTATATTATTACATTAATATTCTTACATTTCATAAGAAAATACATGATGAAAATATTAAAATAGAAATATATTTCAATAAAATAACATTTACAATTGATAAAAGAGACAAAAAATATATTAAAAACTATAAATCTATTAATACTCTAGTTTACTCTAGTAATCAAATAGTAAATAATCGACATATTTATAAACAATTGTGCCTGATCAGAAATAGAGTAACAATTCAATTCTAGATATTTATTTATTAATTACTAAAGCAGGAATATCTTGGATATATTTAATAAATCTTCAGTTGATTGTAAATGTTATTTGATAAATTAAATAAAAATATTTTTTAATAAACTGTTATTATATAGAATAACATCAAAAAATTTTTATATATTTTGTAATAATTTTCATTTTCAGTAGTTTTTCTAACATAATTCAAATGGCAACAAGAGTCTTAATCATCAGAGAATTTATAATGACAAAACTGTTCAATTTTAAATAAATTTAATTTAATTTAATTTAAATAATCAATAAGTTAAAAGCATACGTATATTTATATGTAATCTAAGAGAAATATAGCAATCTAAAAGTATAATCCAAATCAAGCAACGAACGTCATCAATTATTATTGTTACTGATACAAGTAAGTTAAATTTTTACATGTTATTACATAATGATTTGGTATGATAATAATGATTTAAGGAAATAATGGATATTAGGAATTTTGTACGCAATAGAATATTATATTAAAATATAAATGCTGAATCTACAACAGCGTTACATGTTTGTTTTATGTATATAAATATCTTACATGTTTAACTTTCACCGACTGTATAGCAATCATTCAAAAATTGTTATTCTTGTGTGTGAATATTTCGAAAAAGTTTTTCTACATGATGCACAAATACCTCGCACTTCTAAATATATCATTGACTATTTTATATTAACATAAAATTAATATAAAATATTTAATATTTTCGATTTGAATTTAAATACTTTCATGCAAATATTTTCAAGATATCAGTGAGACTCTTAGTGCGGATTGTGATTTGAAATTGTTCGACGCGTTATACGTAATTTTATTATCATCAAAATAAAAAAAAAAAAAACGTTAACAATAATTCTTGGTACCGAAAACTCAGAATTAAAAAGCGCGAGGAATATGCTGGAAATTTCAAATACACAATCTAAGATTTCATTTCGAATTACGCGATCGACTTTTTTTAGATAAGTCCTCATTACTGCTCATCTTTATCCTTCGCTCCGTGTTTCAAGATTCGAGTGAACTCCAAATAGTCAAACATAGACCCTTTGATTGGTGCTTCGCGGTACATTTCATCTACATCATCGTCCGTGAATCTACAAAAAAAATATAATCAAGAAGAACACCAATGTAAGAACACCAATTTTTGTCGATATAAATTATTAATGTATATTTGACTTGATTTCAGTACAAGTAATTCTGATTTTTTTTTCAGTTATATAATCATACTCTATTATTGTATGATAATATTAACCATAATTTTTTAAATTAATTTCTTAATGGCCACCAATTTATTGCTTTAGTCTTTCCTCTTTTTTTTTTTATAGCAAAATTTATATTTTAAAGAGATGAACTTTATTTATAAATATTTCTTTAATGTTGTAATCCAATAACTTGCAATAATTTTGCAAATTTGATGCAATCTTCATATAAAATGCAATAAAATAAAATTACCTATCGCCCATCGTTGTGAGCAGTTCGCGAAGACGTTCCTCATTTATATGACCGGTATTTTCTTCATCAAAACAACCAAAGGCATTTTTAATCACGTCTTCGGGATCAGTCCCTTGTAGTCTCTCTCCAAATAATGTCAAGAACATCGTGAAGTTAATAGGTCCTGGTGCTTCGTTCATCATCGCCTCTAAATACTCATCAGTAGGATTCTTGCCTATAAAAAATTTATTTCTGCTTATCCGTATCTTTTGTTTAAGAATAGTAGAAAACAAAAATTATTACTTGCACAAACACACTTTATATACATCTTTTGAAATTTTTTCGCCTATTATCTCTCCTCAAAGAATTTTTACTTACCCAAAGAGGCCAACATATCGTGCAAATCCTCCTTGTCAATGAATCCATCATGATTCTGATCGATCATATTAAAAGCTTCTTTGAACTCGGCAATTTGCGCCTGGTCAAACATTGCGAAAACATTTGATGTCGCACGCTGGGCGCGTTTCTTCGTGGTGGCACGACGACCGGCAGTTTTACGTGAAGACATTTTCAGTAGTCTCGTTTGCGCCTACTAAATCAAAATTTAAATATTATTCACAATTCTTTGGGCAGCTCGAAAAATCTCATTTCAAGCCAAAGAATATATTTTACACATTAAACAAAATTTTTCTCCTGTAGAGAGTTTTGCATTTACATGCCATTTAATAATTGTTTGCAGATATTCGTTGATGTGAAATGTCGATCATACATCGTAACTTTGAATGCAGAGAATATTTTATAGACTTTTATCGATATCATTATTAATAAAGCTCTTTATCTATTACTATGATGAATTTGAACGTGCAAAGTGTATCGTTTGAAAACATTTTCTTAAGAAGATGTGGGTTTATAGTTTTTTTCAATAAAATTTTTTTCTTAATAAAAATTACAACAAATACCGATAGTTTATTTATTATGACTCGAAGCGTTCTTATATATTTTCAGATTAAACTAATAAATTATAATCCGATAATATTATTCGTATTCTGATTGAAACAATGTCCAATGTAACTTACTCTGCAGGTTATACATACATCGATTACTCTGCACAAATCAATTGTTTGCTTAAAAAATAAACAGCGATTTTTCGTTTTTCACGTTCGTAAATTCACTGCAAATTTTAGCAAAACAGGGATGCGTTCCTTGTAGATTAAAACGAACATCGCGATGGAACGACCAAATTGCTATGTCGCCATCACACCATTGGCGTTTATTTTCGGATAATCAATTTACGATATCCCGACGTGACCGAAAAGAGGAGTAAAAATAATATTGGACGAAGGCGCAACTAAGGGGTCGTTATTCGAACGTGTTCTAACGGCCCGTTTTATATGCAACTTTATCTCGCCACTAACATAAATTTCATCAGTTAAAAATTTTTCAGTCTGAGTGAGACTTTGCTCATTTTGTTGCTAAAAATATATATATATGTTAAAATAACCTAGTTTATAGAAAGGGATTTAATGACAAAAATTAAAAATCGAAATTATATATAAATTCAGATCTCTTTAAAACACTGTCACATTTTATAAATAATGCATTTTATGTACAAAACATCTACAAAATTTTCTCACATAGGTACGTACAAATGAAAATACTTCATGTCTCTATTTTTCAAGATTTGTTTTTTAAAAAAATGTGGTAAATCTACTCCGATCTAATTTTATAAACTTGTGTATTTTCATGAATACATTCTGAGAGAAAAAAATCCTTCAAGTCCCGTTTTCTTTCTTTTTAATTTCAAAATTTTTTAATATTTTTGAACTTTGCTTCACATAAAGGAAATGAAAAAAAGTAGAAATGTTGAATTACAAATTATTATTATTCCGTACTGTAATTTAAGTTAATATAAGAAAATAATTCGTGTTTTTAATTAATTAAAGCAGAGAATATGAGAAATATGCAGCCATAAATTATCATTAAATTATTTATTTTCTAACTTATCAGAAAACTTGGAAAATAAAAAATCGGAAAAAATTTACATTTTACCCAAAAATGTATATATTTGCAACGTATGTGCGAAATTTCTCTTGCGATTTTGTCTTTCATGAATTTTTACGATAGTTTTTGTATTCGTTTTTGTACGCGCTTACTCATCTGTCCCTCGAATCGTGTCCCACTTTTCCCTTTAATTTTGTGTCTCTTTCGCGTCCAATGTCGTCGCAGTATCCACTTTTGATGTATCACAAATCGAAACCAAAAATCGAATAAATTTGTTCCAGCGTTCGCAACAAATTCTTTTTTTTTTTTCGACAGGAAATTCATATCAACAACTTCAAAACTATGTCAAGAAAAATAACAAAATTATTCGAATCTTATTGCTCATCACGCCCCCCCCCTTCCCATTTCCTACGGCACTGGACAGCTGTCTGTTTATCTACACTCCTTTGCATTGTATCTCCCTTCGATCATGCACGTCAGTGTATAACCTGGTTAAGAAACATCCCACTTATGATTACTCCCCTTCTGCCAATGATAACGATCTTTAGTCTCTTAAAACGAATACGATTTCGACCGTGCAGAGCGTGATCGAAGAGTGACAATGGCGTCACTCTCTCACAAATGAGAATTACATGGTCAAATCGTCGTATCTCACAATTCGGGAAAGAAAAATCGTTCGTTCGGCCCGATTATTCGCATTTCGAACGAGAATAGAGCACACCAATACTCACCAATAGCGAACGGTAAACGTCAGGGAACGGCTGAAATTGTTAAACTTCAGCGTCACGGTACGCACTGTGAATCACGTTACGCGTCACCCCGTGGTCATTCACCACACCCGGTTGGCCAACACCATCTGCTGGAAGGCAGGAGAATCGAGTCATGAGCCGCGAAAATCGCACAGATCGAGAAAAATTCAGGCCGTCATCGAGAATCGGTCAGGATCGTGCTTCCCTTCCGCGCGGGATATTCGCAAGCGAATCGCCCTTTCACTTATTGTTAGTTGCAAATCACTCCAGGCCCCTGGAATCGCTCTTTCATAATAAAAAATAATTTATGTGTCATACATGACTTGGAAACGATGAGGAAAAACAGATAAAAGCCTCTATCTAAAAAGAGAATTTTAAATGGAATTCAAATTTGGAGTTTTCTAGAAATGCACGTGGATATTTTATTAGATTTTGTCTCGCGTTAAAAAAAAAAAAATAAAAATAATAAAGAACCGTAAGACAATAATAACGTGATTATCAGGAATAATATAATTTTCACAATCTGTTGAGAAAAAATATCCGCGATGCAGCGATAGCTTATATATATAAACATGGAAAATATTTATAATTAGTTTAGAAATTTTTCGGGCGCAGTACGTAAGTTATTACAGCCCTGAAGCAAGAATCGTTTCCATACTTGGATTAACGCGTTTTGTACCGATTCGCAGCCATATAAGGACATGAGCAAAGCTAATGCCCATTAGTTTACAATTAATGTAAACTAATTTTAATTTAATTCGAAACTTAATTTTTTTAAATTTTAGAAAAAAGATGAAAAAATAGAAAATGAGTTAAATCGGAAGTTAATCTACATTGATCGAAATATAATACGTATATCGTTCTATAATTTCATTTTTCATCGTAGAAATCTTGGTCGCCGTTCAGGTTTCCCTTCCATTTCAATTAATCAAGCATTCATCTAGATTTACTGCATTGTCATTTGTTGCATTGTGACTTAATAGACATGTCGACAATAGTTTCTGACAAATTTAGATCTATGAAATTTCGATAATATAATGTAAGAAAATACATTAAAAATAAAATACATATACAGATTATATAATAATATCAGAAAAGAAGAAATTAAAAAAAATTTAACTTCGAAGGGAGAATTGAGTGAAATAATGAGCGAAATATGAAGTACAACACTGATTTCTTTATTTATACAATCGTAAACTTACATTACAATGTATTACTTAGAAGTTAAGTGTAATGAAATCTAAATAATCAATACACCGTATATACAGAATCATACAAAATAGTTGATCCTCAGAGAAAAAAGTCTCGTCGGTGTGTAATTTTATCTAACATATCTTTACTACACACACACACACACACACACACATCACACCCTCTTTCTCGCACATTATTTACATGAATTATAGACGATAATATAAATAACGATAACAAGTTCTTCGGTGTTTTTTGTACACGTCTCAAATGATAAAAATCGTGCGAAATTGTGAAATTAAGGACAATCTTTTTCATGATTTCCGACGTGGATGTAGAAGAAAGTCAATCCAATAGAATTACGAGCTATCGTACAGACACGCCGTTGATAGTGATCCCGTTCCTATTAGGAATTGGTTCCGCTTCATAATGTCCGGATCTGCCATACATTCTTCTCGGGTGGCCGCCGTATCTGTTGTAAACACATACCAATTTCTATAGAATAGTATCAAACAGAATTTACTTTACAATAACAAAAGTTTTCCATATTTATATATAAATATATATAAAAAACCGCCGCTAAACTTTTTTTATATTATTTTTAAATGTAAAACTTAATTTTGTTAACTAAATTCTTCATAATTTTTTTATTGTAAATATAAAAATTAATTGAAAATAAATGTAATCGTACATCCTTAAGTAATGTTAAAAGTAAACTAATAGAATTGTTATCCAACGAGACCTTAATTTGCATTCTTCTATGTATCTAGAATTAAATGATTGGTGGTTAGAAAAATTTGAAAATGTTGCACAACTTGCCTGTACGCACTGCCACCTATGCTATAGGGGTTATCGTAGAGACCATCCTCGGGGACGTTCTCGTACATGGTATTATGCGTGCCGTCGTTCAACGTAGCGTAAGACATGACGGCGGCATTTTGGTCCTCTTTCCGTTCCGCGGCTTGAACGTTCTCGGTGTTTTTCACCGGCGTAGCTTTTCGTCTGAGAAAGAATGTATGTAATTTCATCCGTAAATACACTTTGACATCGAAGAGAGAAACGCGTCTATTATCTCAAGAGATACGCTACTCACAGCCTAAGGTAGACTAGTCCGAGGATAATTAATATACAAATAATAACGCCTGCTCCGATGCCAACGCTCGTGCCAACACCTTGAGGCTCCGCGATCTCATTCGCAGCCACTGCGATACAAATAATGTAATATTTTATTAATTGGTCTGAATCTTTTTTCGCCGAATTTACATCGTCAAGTACATTAAGATAAACAGCTTGCTATGTTAAATATTTGTTTCTGGCAATTAATTTCTGGAAATTAATCGCTAAAGTTTACATTTCAAGATTTTTCACGTTATAAAAATATCTTTATATCACGAATGCATTTTTTAATAATTTCAAAGATGTAACATCGGTGTTTTATTTACATTCGCATCTTGGTTCCTCGCCGCTCCAGTATCCTGTGTCCAAACACTTTCTCAAGAATATGCCGATTCTTTCGTACTGCGGTAAGCAATGATATTCTGCGGCTCCTCCATAAGTCGTTGACCCGTTCACCACTATCACTCTACCGTTCTCTATTGATCCCGGATGCTTGCAATCAACCGCTGAAGAAAAGCACGACATAGATAGATTTTAATAACTTTTGTCACAATATACTTGTCACATAATATGCGATATTTATTAAATAGGTATGATATATCTCTTCAATAATTCGCGCATTATGTTTCTGCAAGTAGAGCAAAACTGAAATAGAAATATCCTCCATTATTTTGTAATAATAATTATATATTTCATAATTAATGAAGAAAATAATTAATGAAGATTCGCGAATAAGCATGCATGAAGAGACAGCTCAGTATTAGAACTTTCAAATTGTCGGACATGACATTTTTCATTATTTAAACGTAAAACATTACTTTATTACAAAACTTTATTACTTATCGTTAGCTATAATTTGTTTTACCTACGAGAAGTGACCTATGCATTATGAGATCCTATTTATTAATTTATTTATTCATTATGACAAATGTCATTAAACTTATCATTTAAATCTTTATTCTTCTATTCTTCTATAATGAATAAGAATTTTGGAAAAATATTGTTCATTAAATTTGTGATATGAAACGTATTTCTGCCTAACGTATACATATCGATATGTAAAAAAAGGAATGATAAAATTTCTCAGAAATAGATATAATAAAATAATATTGTTTCTTTTTTTTTTTTTTTGAATAAGAAAAACTGCTTTGTGAAATATCTTACAGAAACAAGCGGGCGTTCTCCCGCTCCAGGATCCATTTTGTAAACAAATCCTAGTCTCATTTCCTTCCATGTAAAACCCACGTGGACAACTATAGTGCGCCACACCGCCCACACTATGAGTTGACACTTGCGTAGATAGTACGCCACTTTTTTCCGGATCTCTGCATCGTATTTCTGTAAATGTTTGTTACATGGCTAATTTTTAATTTTTATATAATTTAACAATCGATCTCCGTCTGAGCGTGTCGAACGCTTGGACGCTAAATCGCTTATAACTTTATTAATTTTTCGCTATTTCAAAATAATATTATAGGAAATATATATATATTCTTGAGATATTCTGCTATAAAAACATACAACTTTTTGATTTGAATTTTTTGGAAAATTCTAATAACTAGAAATCCACTCTTACCTCGACAAACGGGGGTATCGCTACTCCAGGTGCCGTTTTCAAGACACAGCCTTCTGGCAAATCCATCTAGCTCGAAATTGCCGTCACACTCGTAAAGTGCAGCTGCTCCATAATATGTTGCATTGGATGTCAACGTGTAATGTCCGTGTTGAATGTACTCAGGTTTTCCACAATCGACATCTATCAGATGAATGCTTATATCACACACATATATATATATATATATATAGTATTTATTTCAAAATTTTAATGTTAAAGCCGCGAATTAATTCTTTGGGCACGGCGAAAATATACTTTATAATAATTATCGATCGTTTTAATCAAAATGCTCGTCAAATTATTTAACAGGGAAGGACAAGGGAATTTCTTGTCGTCGATATCCCGTATAATTTAGCGAATAGTTAACTCGATTGCAAAATGCAATTCTTCTTGGTAATTAGAATATCTGGTGATACTTACAGACGCATTGCGGCACTTCGCCGCTCCACTTTCCATTCTCTTCGCAGGTGGACAAAGGTTCTCCGACTACCTTGTATCCTCTCTCGCACCTGTATTTCGCCAGGGCTCCAATCTTGTACGAAGTCGCGCCTGTATTTGAGTTCTCGACGGTTCCCGTGCGTATCAACGTTCTTCCGTACATTCGATCGTTTCCGGTCACCGAGAGAATCCCGTGCTCCGCCAGTATAGGTTCCGGACAGCGGATCTCTGAAAATGAGTAACATAAACATATACAAAAAAAAAAAATATTAGATGTTTCCAAAAAAAGATTTATGCCCGATTTATGCCACCAATCGGTAGATTAACTTTAATCTCGGTTCAAAGAATTAGTTCTAGTTGTAAAAGTTGGAAAAAGATAAGAAGCAAGTTAAAGTAAATCTATCGATGGCGGGATCGGATTAGTCCGTCTTAAATTTGTCGATATACCGATTTTTTTTCACAGTTTTGTCGAATTTCGAATTCTATTCTATTTCGACCACAGTGTAATTACCTTCGCATTTCGGAGTGGCATCGCTCCATTGACCGTTGTCGAGACAATATCGCCTCGAGACTCCATTTAGTCTATAATTCCTCGTACAGCTGTACGCGATTTCGCTGTCAAGATGAGTTGTATCGTTCACGTAGGTTACAGCGCCGTTTAAAATCGGAAGAACCTTACCGCAATTGATGTCTGCGCAACAGTTATTATAGTCAGTAATTTTAAAAGTAATTTAAAACACTTTGTTCCCAAAGATAAAATATCGATTAAAAAAGAATACACGTTTACATCCTTGGATCTTGTAATTTTATGTGAAATTCGAGATAAGTATTGCTTATTTGTGACATTCAAATCTGATCTGTATTAGCACTTGAAGTATCTTTTTCGCTCAAACTTTTGGTAAAATGTGCTATGTTCTTATTTGTTTTAAAATATCATAATACAATATGTCAATCAAAGAATCTCAGACGCTATAAATAATATTTAGCCTCTAAGTAGAGAAATAAAGTGGAAGAAACGGTTAACCGTTTGAAATTGATGCAAGTAATTTTCCTACACTTGCTTTTATGCTAATAAGTTGCTCTGAAAGAGATCTCGTTTAGGACGAAGGCCATCGAGTTAGATAACCTTGATCTAACAATAAGTTCCTTTCCATTATCCAACGATTATATCACTCGATGGGAAAGAGATATGAGAGAGATGACTCACATTCGCAAATCGGCATCTGTCCTGTCCATTTGCCGTTTTGACCGCATGTATGTTTCGCCTCGCCGTGAAGCAAATAACCCGCGTCACAATGATACACAATGACGCTGTGAACATTCAGATCATATCCTACCACGAATCCTCCAGTGGGCACATCCGGAGTCGGACACGAGATCACTGTATGTGAAAAATCATGTTTAATAAACGAGTATCTTCGTGAAATTAAAAAAAAAATAAATAAAATAACGAATGCTTTTATATTTTGTTTAATAAAATTTTATTTTCATGAAATTATTCTTCGCGTTGC